CATTACTCACACAAATGTTCTAGAACCTATTTGAGAGAGTGACTGCTGATATCCTAACTTTGGATAATTCAAAACGTGTATGATGAACAAATACAAGCTGCCCAGATATCCAGCATCTCATCATTGCCAGATATCCACTCCAAAATTGCAACACTAACAAGTTTATTAAACATCTAAATGAGCACAAAAATCACTTTCTTTTCATGACCTACAAGTACAGTGGCATTCAGCATTCTTGAAGCTTTCTTTCCTTTTTAGCAAGTCTAATAATCATAAAACATTGAAAGTTGATCCAATTGATATTAAAAATAATAAAAAATCACTTGTGAAGTCATATGTTAACCCCCATCCTAATGTCATGCCTTAATGCTGAATAATCTCCCTGTATTTGTGTTGACATTTGAATGCACTGTGCAAGGCGTTTTATCATTCATAAAGTTCAAGAATAATAGTTATAATTGACTTTTCATAATCTTTAATTACAAATAATTATAATCAGATAAACTATCCACAACAACCAGGTAAGTATATTGCACTTTCTCCATTTGAATGGACAAAAGTACCCTTGATTTAACCAACCTCCTTCCCATCCTTGTTAAATGGGTTTGAAAATCAAATAGATTTTGAAACATTAAAAAGAAAATCAAACCAGATCTTACACCATCAAACTCTAGTTACACTAATTTCACATCAGCTCTTCGAGAGAAAAGAAAAGATGGTTGGGATCTTGTATATGTGGACAATTAGGATATTTGTAACTTGGTTAAAGTTTGAGGGAAGATTGGGGGAAAGGAATCTCATTTTCAAAAGTGGGGAAAATTGCCATTAAGGCAAAACACACCCAGAGAGGGGCAACTTCAATGTCCTTGCCCTATAATTTCTATGGTAAATTCAATCCAACCAATGACATCTTCATATGACCAAAATTAACAAACCACAAGGTGAAACTGAGAGAAGAAAACAACAAAAGCATAAAAAAAAAATTTGTTACTAAAATTCAGAACAAAAATGTACCCAAACAAAATGCCAGATTCCAAGCCATATATTATTTCCTCAACAACTTCATATTGAACCTGAATGGGAAAAATGCAAAAACATGTCAGTCCAATCAACAATATACTTTACAAGGAACATAAGATTTACCAAGTCCTGCTCTCTTCGTCGGCGTCTGTAGATACGAAGCCATCCATTAAGCAGTACCTGTAATCAACAAAGCATCATAAAGTGGGTCACTATTACAGAATCAAAAAGTAACAGCATTATTGTTTTTTCCTTTTCTTTTAAGTGCTGACTAGATTCAATTATTCAAATGCCCAGAGGCCAATCATTAGAAACACAGTGAAAATAACAATTGCAACAAAAAGTGACATGACTAAATAACATCCTGGGAACCTTAACATTTATACTTAAGGTACCTCAGAACTACCCAAGTGCCACATTAATCGTTAAGATGACCTAGAAAATGGATAATCCCTCCAGTTAAATGCTTTCATTTGAAATGACATAGCGTTTTAGGTGAAAGTTATAAAGGTTGGTACTTCATGTATGATGGCCAAGAATTCTTGTATCACATAATTACAAAAAGGAAATAGAAGCATCCAA